CGACATTGCCTCGCATCCACGTTGGATTACATTGTAATGCAAATGAGAAAACCTAAACATGAAAAGGGCTATTATCATTTAATCTGATCCCATTTTTAGGCAGCACTTACAGCTTTTACATGCACTTTTAGATACATGAAAATGAAGGAGGTCTTTCCGCCCAACTTCCTGGCTCTTATCTTCATTTTGGATTGAAGGAAAAATGCTTCAAGTAACGAAGCGTCTTTCATCAGTTCGCATCCAATTATTCAAAGAAGGATTAATTTCAGGCGACTTATAGTGGTAAATCTCGATAACTTGTTTTGGGTTCACGCCCGAGGGGAAATTTCACGCGAGATCCGAATTGTTTGGAGCCTTCTCTTTCCTGCTAATTGTTTTAAATTTGAGTTCTTTCATGATAGCTGCATAGGACTTTTATCTCCCCCTCCGGGAAATGATAGAGAAATATATGATCCTTTTTCATAGCATAAAAAACGTTTCAAGTTTAAAAAAAAGTAGTTTTAGCCCAGATAAACGATAGCCTCGAAGATTGCATTCAGTGTTTCATTATATCTTGCCTGGTATCTACTTGAAGACTAGCCTGCGAATACAGCCGCCTCACATTCGCTCCCGCTACTGCGTGCGAAACGCGGACGAACGAGAGGCGGCTGTATTCGCAGGCTACTTGAAGACCCTTAAAAGAGCTACGTCACGATTTGCGCATCTTGAAAGGTTTAGGCCAAACTTTTCAAGTTCTTCGTTTATAATCCGTGTTAATCTTCTCTTTCCTTAACCATCCTCGTTCCTTTATGGTTTATTATTATCTCATTGGTGATTTTCTAATACCCCGTCCACACCAACATGTTAAGCATCAATATAAAGGTAATTTTGTACGTGGCCAAAAACCATGAAAAGCAGGAATGTGAACTAAATTTAAGACGGTAACCTTAGCGATCGAGTTTTTCCTGTCAAAGAACTCCCTCACATAGTGCAGAGACCCATGTTTAGTGAAATTTATTGTGACTGGTTTTCCAGTAGTAGTAGGTTTCTCTGAAGAATCACAATTTATTGACCATCGGAAATAAATTTCAGTTAATCAACAACTCTTGTTTGAGCTTTGAACTTTGTCCAGTGATCTACCTCGCACGATCTATCGCACGTGAGAACCCCAAGAACTGTCCAATCAAATGGCATCTGGCCTGTTGTCTAGCATGTGTATTGATTCCAAACATGAGGAAGTGGATTTAAGTCATTACCTGATTATCTATCGATTCGGTTCTAAATTACATTTCTATGGCTTCAATTCCATACCGCTCAGAATAATCTCAAAAACCAGGATCTTTTTTAACCAAATTCTCTTTGCGTTTTGAAATGACCTTAGTTGCGTTATCAGACAGGATAATATCCTCTTGATTCATCAAGTAACAAAACAGGCTTCGATATTTGATCCTGATATTTTGAGAATCAAAGTGTAGATTCAAAGTCTATTTTAAATTCGTTTACTATATACCCTATACCACATACATGTCCGAATGTATGAAAACATTGTTAAAGAGAAAGTAGGCGACGTAAATTTTATAGGAATTTCAGTCTTTTTCCCTCCACTCTCTTGTCTTCCGTTTCCTGCTCTTCTCCTTTTTTTTTCCATCGCTTGGAGTGATTTCAAGGCCCACGGGAGTCGTGAAATCATAGTCTATATGGGTCATTTGGTGCAAAATATTGCTACAGTTTACATACATCCAGTCGTATACATATGAAACGATACAATTTGAATATGATCGGTGTGGTACTTGGTACTACGAGGATCTAGGTTTTCGATTAGCTACAAAGTTCCTCTGAGATCGATCACTAAATTGTCTTTTTGTTCTTTAATTCCTGTATTGCTTAGAGCAATAAACAAGAAAAAAAAAACCCAAATTTAATTGTACAAAAATAGATAATGAAAAAAATCGGTGCCTGATAAAAATACTTGTCAATAGCTTCAGATTTCCTGATGGCACTTGAGTTTTCCATCTACAGAGTTACAGAAGTTGGGGCCATTATGAACTACGTAATATACAGAGCTAAGTAGAAATGCGGCGTGACAGTTTTGCTGGATAACTTTCATTTGAATGGTTATACGCGAAGGTTTCGTTTCAAAGACCTAAAAGTTAAAACATCCTTGCACAACGTAATAAACAGTTTCACTTCAAAGTTCATCTTAATAGCTTCCACTTGAATGTCGCTCTCATAGAAAGAGGTTTGATTCATAGATCTACAGTCCTCTAAATCATGTTGTTCTAATCCAGTTCAATTCTTAGGAAGGGATCATAAAGTACATTACAACAGTCACTGTGATAACTACTATTGTGAAAAACCAGAAGAAAATTTTGTCGATGATTTGGGCAGCTGCCTGCCATTTCTTTTTCTTTTCTTCTTCACTTTGATCAACTGTCAAAGAGTTCGCAACTGCATCGAGCTTGGCGATAACTTGATCCATTTTACGCTCCATTTGCGCGGGAAACACGAATTCTTGGGGAGCACCATTCGGCGAGCGGCTTTGCGGACTTGAATTTCCGCTTTCTGATGTTTTACGTCGCTGTACGGGAAAGTACGTTGGCCAGCGGTCTGCGACCAAAGTCACCGGAGTATATTTTCGTTTTGGTGGATCTTTTGGGGTTTGTTCCGATTCAGGATTTTCCCTAAGGATTTTAGCAAGAACTTTGAAGACGAAGAATTCGAAGGTTGTGGACATCTTTACTGACGTGTCACGATGATAAATCCACAAAACCAGGCATGTGACAACCAGTGAACAACCTAGCAAAGCCATTATGGCGGTGGAATATTTAGTCAACAGCGGCGTGACTTCTGAAGTGGGTGGTATGTTTTCTGTGAATATGAGTGTGTATACAGTCAAGCCCAGGAGAATCGTTATGATCAGCGAGATTCTCTCACCGGACTCGGGAGGCAAGAAGAACGCAAACACCGTCAAAATCGCGAGCGCAACGCAGGGGAAGATCAAATTGTTAAGGTAAAAGAGCACCCTTCTGCGCAGAAGTATTGAGTAAGTGATGTCTATAAACGGATCTGGACAGCAACTGTACTTAACCACATTACGCACGGCCTCGGCTTTCACCAGATCCCATTCACCACTGACAATGTAGCCCGATAGATCCACTTCTTCTCGGGCGAGCTTTAGGTTTAAAGAACCGCTGGTGTACGTCCATGAGCCGAACACCATGGTGCAGCGCTGCTCGTCGAAAGGAAAGTACGTGATGTCGATTTTGCAGACGGTTTTTACTTCGGTCGGGGCATACCATCGACACGAGCCATTGTAGTTTATAACAACTTTTGTGTTGAACTTGTACATTTCACCACTGTCGCTCTGAATGCTGGACGGTAACGGAAAGACAGTTAATAAAAATATTAGAAAACAACATATCAAATGGTTACATGTCTATCAAAACATCAAATGTCATTGCATGTCTGTAACACCGTCGTCTGCACGCAGTGCGAGCCTATAACGTCTTCTCTTCAAGAGAAGACGATAATCGTCTCATGTATGGTTATAAAATCTTGGGTGTCGTTAAAATAAAGAGTTCTCGTCGACAACAACAATTTACAGCTGTTTTTGTAAAGAGGAGCAGACCTAATAGTCAATGAAGAGCTAGAAAATGAGGTGGGGAAAGAAGTCCCCAGCAAAGCCAGACAGTTATCTTTACAACTTGACATTCGACGCTTGCCGGGCATCATCTTCATAACTAATTATCAATCTGCCAAAGGTTTTCCCCTTAAGATTCAGTTCAAATTCTTACTGAATAAGGTACGAGTCCCAGAGTTGCAAAGCGGATAAAAATAGTTTATTACTGGCTATGGAGCTAAATATAACCGAATAACAAATAACTAGCATGGGCTCCCTCTGTCATCCTCCTATACTGGATGTCGGATGAAACATTTTTACCTGTTGTAAAGAACAATGTCGGGTTTCCAAACAAGCTTCGGGTCGATGTTGATAAATTTTACACCGCCATACTTAGTTGGGTTCCATCT